AAACATAATTTCTGTTGAATTTTCCCCCTTACCAGAGGGAACCCCCTTGTGGAGTATTGTGAAGTACCATGGCAACTCCACTGCACTGTACAGTTGAAGCCATTTTACAGCCATACAATAGAAGCCATTTTAAGGCACAACAGGCTATATCTTAACAGAACACACACCCCAAGGGGTTTTAGAAGTGTCTTGCCCCTACAGTATTCAATTCCAGAGAGTAAGTCATTTGTGTACTAAGTTTGGTTGAAATTACTCAAGGTGTTCCAGAGTTATGCTGGAACATACATATATATACACACAGAGTCTATATATATTCTGAATAGCAACACAACTCAGTCAAACTTTTCCTTTCTCCCTAAATCTATATGGCTTGGAATATCTACCCTGTAAAAATACCTTTTTCATGCTAGGAAAGAAAAGAATATTTAAATATTTCTGCAGGCTGTCAAATGTCCTTTGTCCTATTGTTCTGTGAGGAGATATTAATTTCACCTTGATTGTCACTATTGTTTAATCTTTGAGAAAATGTTTGACCTTTTTCACAACCCAGAGATATTAAAAATGTGTCGGGCATCTTGGCATCTTGCTTTTCTTCTGATGCAGATTTCCACTTTGAAGAATAATTATCTGCAAAAACTAAAATCTGTGTGGAACCCCCCCCCCAAAAAAAACTCACAAAGTAGCCAACCATCAGCTGCCAAGGCTGCACCTCAATTGTGGGCAATCCTGTCTCTAATTTGAGAAATTCTTCAGGACATTCTCCTAAATAATTGTGCAGAGAATTCCAGTCTTAAATCAACAAAGCATCTTGCAGCCCTTATTGTATTGATACTTTATAGAGTAATTTGACACTCAGTTGAGAAGCTGAGGTTTCACTGAGGTGACACTGAGGTTCTAGAGTGTAGGTTTGGCTCATGTCCATGGTAAATAATTGATAGATGGTTTAGATCGGGGGTGTCAAGCTCACGACCCAGATGCCAGATCCGGCCCACGGGGTGCTTAGATCTGGCCTATGGAACTGCCCTGGAAACAGCAAAGGACTGGCCAGGGATGGGTTCCAGCTGCCGCTACTGCCAGTTTACTCAGGGAGGTGCTGCGTGCACTTTGCATGCACCTGTTTTGCGCGTATATGCATACATACATGCAAAAATTGCTCTGCACATGTGCAGAAGGCAAAAACAAGATGGCGCCATCGAGAGAACCAGTTCGGGGGTGTGGCAGGCCTGGGTCACTGCCACTTCCAGGGACCCAGGTCGCCAAGTTACTACCAGTTCAGTTGAACCAGTCCGAACCGGTAGGAACCCACCTCTGAGACCGCCCCATGGCGCTTCTGCCTGCGAAAATGAAGCTCAGGAGCCCATTTTCGTTGGCAGAGCACTCAGGCCACCACAGGTGCCCCTGACACAAGTGATGTCAAGCTGGCCATGCCCACTCTGAGATCAAACACAATCCTGGTGCAGCCCTCAGTGAAACTGAGTTTGACACCCCTGGTTTAGATTCATGTCCAATGCTAACTCAGCCTTGGATTTTGGTCTTCTTCATATTCTAAATAAAGTTTCTAGCGTGAGTTCCTGTTGTTTCTACGATTTGTACTGCACTTATTTTCACGTCTTTGTGATGGTTAAACAGAAACAAGTCACCTAGACTTGGATTATCAGCAGTTCAAATGGATTTAATATAACTGAAAACCACTTACCTCCGCTACCGGTTTGCAAATGTGAACGCACGTGCCACCTTTGTGCATGCGCAGGACCTTCCACGAATGCGCAGAGCATAAAAAACAGATGCGATGATGTCTGGGCGAGTGGGTGGAGCCTGCTACGGAGCGTGCCTGGAAGGTAAGTAGAACAGTGGGGGGAATCCACTGTGCCACACAATTTAGATTAGCTGCAAAGCAGGAAATCTTGCTTTCTAGCTAATATACATTGCGTGTCACAGCTGATCATCGGAAATACTGGCTCACATTTTACTACTGGTTTAAATATTGGTTTGCATTTTATTACTGGTTCGGGTCCATGCTGTAAACTGAACAAAGCTTTCTCTTCCTCTCCATCCAAGCCAAGAACCCCAAACATTCATAGACCATGGCAACACAAGGAAGGAAAAGCTGAGCATTAAAACATAGGATCCTTTGCCCACTGGAAGATTAGTAGATCTCATGCTATGTTTTTTCTCCAGGAATTGAATTGAATTGAATTTATTATATTTCTATGCCGCCCTTTTCCCCGAGGGGGACTCGGGGCGGCTCACAACCCAAGTCAAGGGGGGGGTGGGTACAAATAAGGAATTAAAAAAAAAGACGAACAAAACAATACCACAATTTAAAAACACACAACAACCATACCATTCGAGGG